TATATATATATAGAGGATATTGATTTAGAATGCATGCACACACACACACACACACACAGCCAGTCCATCCATCGCTCAGCCGTCGCCCTCTCGACTCTTTCTGCTGTACCACAAATCAAGAGAGAAGTAAACATGAGAGGAATGCAAAGGAAAAAAGCAACCTGGGGGATGAGCGGCCATAAAACAGAGGGAAAATACAGACAGTGTCATGTAACCTGGGGAACACATGCACAAACATACAAATCCCTCTCATGGGGATATTTATTGGGGAAATGTGAAAGTAATTACAGTTGCAGAAAAAAAGTTTATGTCATGTTTCTTACGCATGTAGCGATTTTAGGCTATTAGACCTGCATGATCTGTGGCTGTCGAAGCTTCTATTCGTTCAGCAGACAAGGGGATATTAAAAAAAACACAAGCTGTAATAAAAGTTTGGCATTTGACGGACATAGTTTGAAACTGAACTGATCATGGCCCAGATTTTCCCTTTGCAGCTGACACACTGGGACCTCCTACACCTCCCCTCCCATCCCCTAACAATAATTTTGTGATTTTTGTTGCTGTAAATAAAAAGTACAGTGCTCTCACTGATTTATTTAGCAGTAGGTTCCAACTTTGAAACCCATTTTGAGCCATACTTGTCTACGTTTACGAAAACTGGCACCATTGAACAGGCATGAAGTGAATTCCTGTTCTTTTTGGATAATTTTCGTATTGAAGAAAACATAGGATCTTTCTCAAGTCCTTTTATGTTAATATGTTATTTTAAAGGTGTTTTTTTCGTGGATTCAGAGGTAAGTCTATCTATTTTAGGTCACAATGCAGCTCTGACGTCGCCTCATTTGCCCTTTCTCCCATCGTACAGCAGGAGGAAACTGTCTGTGGCAGAGTTCTAAAAACTAGAAGGTGTGTTTGTTGGTGAGGGGCAGCGCATGGGTTCAGGAGCCAGGGCACTCTTTTCTTACATGTGCTCATTTGGACATTACACTGAATTTTCATTGGGAAGCTAGCATGGTGTTATTCCTGAAATCTGGTACGTACCCAACTTCACCAGGTAATAGCTCGAAAATGAACAATGTACGTGTGCAAAACCGGCTATAGCTTGAAATTTGTGATTTTCACTGAATATACAAACATAATCTGCACAAAGTGAACTGAAAGTGCAAATTAAAAACACCAGTAACATAAAACAGCTTGGGGGTCAGGTATCCAATTAAAAAAAAACATCCCCAGCAGGAGGCTAGACCCTGGAAACACACTGTGTACATGCACAACCACCCTCACTGCTATACTGGTACATGCACGACCCATCTTTCTCCCTCATTGTGTGACTCCTTTGCACTGCAAAGCGGAGAGAGCACTTCCTGAAACTTCTTCTTGCAAAGCTCAAGGTTAGCACTGGCTGTGGTTCCTTCTATCTGCTCTGTCTCTAGTTCCCTCTCCTACCTTCTCTTAAAAAAGTGAAACCTATGAGGAAATTTGCTTAGCTCAGCGGTCTGGCTCTCCTGCTTTGATGAGCAAAAAGAAACTTTTACAAGAATCAAAAACAAAGAATTGGGAGGAGTATTTTACTATGTATTTTTATAGTTTATTCTTGTCTCGGTTATTCTGTGTTTCTTCGGTGGTCTGTGTGTTTTTCCCCTCCACTTTCATTGTTGTAAACACCAAACAAGGGGACGTGCTGCATCAGCAGGCTGTGCCAATAGTCTGCATATGTGTGAGGGAACAGCTTCCTTTGAGAAGTCCGATTCTTTGGAGGCTCACAGGAATCAGTCAGGCCACAGAGGAACTCTTCATTGCGCCAGTAAAAATAGAAAGAAGCTGATTATCTGTCACGGTGCCTGAGCAAATGAAGTCGTTTCAGTGAACTGTTGATACATCAACAGGTTTCCTTCGTTTTGTATTCGGAACCACAGATGCCTTTTTTTGGCTCATCTTGCTGAGCTTTTCTTCAATTCTTTCATTAGACTCATTAAGACAGAAAAGAGAAACGAGAGACCGCTGAGCAATTCCTGAACCGAGTACTAGGATTTCTCCCCACAGGTCAAAGCCAGAGCTGGACAAAAGACACACACACGCAAACACACGCATCCAAGATTTAACTGATTGGGCCTGTCACTGCTCTGGTAGAAGGACTGCCTGAGTGCTGCTCACATATTGGCAAGGCAAGCCTAAGTGAAAACACATGTTGTGTAAATGCAGAGAATAGAAGTTGAGCCTCGGCCTCCCCCCAATAAAGACCATTTGAAACCAAATCCGATCAGATCTCAGAGCGTTCCAGGAGAGACAGAGCGGGCGGAAACGCTTCCTGTTTTTCAGGACAAAGGGGAGTAATAATAAGCAGTGAATCCAAAAAAAAGAGAGAAAATAAAAAGTATCGAATGCTTACTACAGGTTAGGCAACCAACTGTGACAGCGATCCTGTAACTGTCCTGTAAAAACACTCGATCTACAACCTTTCAAAATATAGGCAGGTCATAATTTTTCATGTATTGCAACTTTTTTATTTTCAAGATTTCTGTGGATTTTCTTTTTGCAGAGTTACTACGTTGCCTGGTGCCAGATTCCTAACCTCTGACCTTTCACATCCTCTTTGACCTCTAACACAACATCTGGAATGCTTCACCCGCATTCATTGCATTCACACGTAACAACGCAGACTGTGGAACCTGAATGTTATCTACGTATCTGATCAAAAACTGGCAAAGCGACAAGAAAACAAGTCTAGGGTGAAAGCATGCTGAGGAGAGTCTGTTCAAAGTGATGACTCAGTCACTACCTTCCATCTGTTCTAATGCAAAGTGCGTATTTTTAACTCTCGGGTGTGTTCAAGCAGACAAATCTCTAAGAATTTTCTATGATGACTGGCTCGAGAAGCTTGACAGTTATTTGTGGGTTTACTGGGGAGCTGGTTCACACTGAAAAAAAGAAAACACACTCTTTCTGTAAGTTTTAAATTCTTTTGTTGTTAGACAGATATCTCCTTAACAAGCCTGGAAACACACATATTAGTGCTTTAGTAAGCGTGTAGTGTGACCACTGTGATGATCCAGCACGTCCTTACCTTCTTTGCAGCCTTAGATGGTGACCTCCTAGTCGGCTTCTGCACCTGGTCGCTCACTGTGACGGGCTGCTTAGACAGAGAGCCGTTCTCCCGCTTCTTGGAGGGGGAAGATGGTGTTGACGATGGTGCTGGAGAAGGAGACACAGGTGGAGAGGAAGAGGAGGAAGGATTTCCAATTCTAAGGATGGCCATATCCTCTGTTGCTGTGAGGCGCAGGCTGCGTAGGCTTTCATAGGTCTCAGAGTCAACCACCAGCAACCTGGTCTTGTTTTCCATGGCCTTAATCCTCTGTACCACCTGAGGAATGGAACATCGAACGTTTGGTTTGAATACATTAAATTCTCTACAGTTTGGCAGCAGATAATTAAATGCTACTCCTATGAAGGATTAGTCCCAATCCATCCATCAAGGACTTGTTTAATATATAATTACTGACCATTATATTAGGCTGTATACACCTTTTAACATGCAGGCCTGTGATTTGCATCTTTATATTAGGAAAAATGCTGTATAAGCAACGTTTTGAAAAAGGTGATGGCTCTAGGTTTTTGGGGTATGTGTGTTCCTTTAACTGAATTTCTTAACATAACTTTGTATTTATTTGGTTCTTACTGTTTGACACAGCAACTGTATCAACTGATCCATCAGTTTTTCTAACCATTTATTCCCATACATCTGTAGTGGGAATATAGTGGGAAGCGATGTTTTCAAAACTGACAATTATCATTGTCGTTGTTATAGATCATTGTCATATGAGCAGGAATATGAGGCTCCTTAGAAACACCTGGGTGGCAGATTTGTTCCCTGAACTTCAAACACAATAGTCAGAGGGTTTGTTTTCGTCTTTCAAGCTGCAACAAACCTAATATACAGCACACAGAGAGGAGGCTGGTGCTGATCTTCCCCCGTGTGCCTGCAAGCTTGTGAAAATAATTATCTGAGCCTGCTGACTCTATCTGACCACCAGCCAGGCCTTGCAAATAGAGGAGCACACAGTTTGTTAAGATCTTATTTACAGGGACCGGTTTATATTTAAGCTCAGGCCACTGACTAGAGACTTGCTGATTTGTTGAATTTCACTAGGAAAAAAAACTGCAAGGGAAGGAATACAGCCTGCGTAAAGTTCTTGCTCAGCGCGCCCCTTGTTTCCAAACAAAATGTTTTGTAATTCAATAACCTGCAGACCTCTGGTCTATGACGCCGAGTGGAGGAGGAGGCTATGTGCCACCGTGTCAGGATGTCTGCATCAGCCAGTGTCACCTGTTGATGTAGCCCCTGCTCAGCCAGCTAAGACACAAGTTAAATAATAAACACATCTACTTGCCTGATGGTGCGTCTCCTTCTCCACGTTTACTCCGTTCACTGCGACCAGCCTGTCACCGGCACGCAGCCCTGACGCTTCTGCGGGGGAGCCAGCCTCCACTTTGCGGATGAACTGGCCGCTCTTTCCTTTCTCGCCATGCAAGTGAAATCCATACCCGTTCTCCCCTTTTGTCATGACACAAAGCCGCGGTTTCCCCACTTTGGCCATTTCCCCCTTTGTCAGTTTAAAGCTTCTGAAGTGTTCAAGTAAAATATAACAACAACAGCAACAACAATAATAATAACAATAAATGGAAATATTTGAGTTTAGGAGAGCGACTGCAGGGCTGCTAAACTTCTTGGAGAAAACATATCTGGCTGACACGCGCGCTCTCCCAGTACAAAAACACAAAGTGGAACAGCCACAGATGCGCTTCAGAACAAGAAGAAAAGGAAAAAAATAGTGCATGCAAGAAGCAGCAAAGTGTAAAACTTCAGGTAACGAAGCAACAGCAGCAGATCCTGTGTCTTGTATCCAAGCTGAAGCGCACGGCTCAAAGACTCCAACAAAAACCCGACGGGCGCGCACAGACTTCAGAGCCCCCGACAGCGCACCATTACTGTTACTGCAGACGTCGAATAGACTGCCGGGTCCTCTCCTCTCACTGGAAATTTCTCCATAACAACAGTTCGGAGAGCATACGCTGAGTACAGTTTGCTCTGGGTTAGAGCCGCGTGCGCAATAGCACCACCTCTTCCCAGACCGCTTACCTGCTCTCACTGTTTGGGCAGGGAAGGAGGACTAAAAATGATACAACATTGCCCCTGGGTGGCAGGGAATGGTTTTGAACGGTGTCCTAAAAATAATGAAAACACCCAGCTATTTGGATTCTCACTCTCAATACATCCAACTGGTAGCCTAATTGTAATGGGTCCAGACAACAGTTCATCTAAAGTTTCGGAGCCGTTTCATAACATATTATTATTCAAATAAATGTCATAACTGTGCTACTAAAATACCCACTAAAATCTAACTGATGAGCCCAAAGCTTTTAGTAAGTAGGCCGTTTCAAATACAGTATCCTTATAC